AAGCTCGCTTTGAAGCTTCTTATAACGACCCCACCACCGACAAGACGACGACTTTCTACAAGTATTGGATCCAAGCCAACCTTGATCTCACTAACCCGAACCAGCCGGACTTCACGTCGTCAGCCAAGGCACTATCGCGTAGGTTTTATCCACGGCTAATTACACGCCTAACTGCTCATTGAGCCGCTTCAGTGTTCTTGGACCAGAACGAATCAGCGTGGTCTTCGAGTCAATCACGCACGCAGGCGACGGATCTATTCCGATCCGCCCTCAGGCTCGAAGTCGCGTTGTTCGATTCTGGCTATGAAACGCCGACTCCGAGGGTGCAGTGACAGACCCCTACCAATCTTTGACGAATGGCCGTCGCGATCTTCTTGTCACTTGTACAGTATGCTAGCCGTGTAACTGTTTCTAGGTTACTCGTGAGTTGTACAGTACTGCATATTCGGTCTGGCGCTTGGGATAACAAACCGAGTTCGAGAGCAATCGATGCTCCGTTGATCGACTCTGCCCGTGCTTCCACTTGAGTAGTACGGGAGTATTTGCGAGGAAAGACTTCTCACCAGCCCAAGATTTGTGGGCAGCACTGCCATATAGCGTCGGTGCCCGTACAAGGTCATCGAACTTACATTGATGATACCCCCCGAGTTTGCATACCCGTGAGCTCGATGATCTTCCCGGAGTTTGCCATCTTCCCATCAGTAGGACGTTTATCGACGTCCACAACAGAATTCGTACTCACGCATCTCCTGTCATGCCTCTGCGACTTTTAAGATTGGAGCTACTTATATATATTTCGCTGTGTGCCTTCAAGCTGCTCTCTCGACGTCCCGACCCGCCTGCTACAAGTTCATCGTGTGCTGCTCGGGGTCACCGGTGCAAGTCCTGCATCTCTAAGGGGATCCTGCGTGCTTCGAAGCGAAAGACAGTTAAAGACTCATTCTCGCGCTCGAAGCGAGCGAGAAACTGATAAAACTATCACCCTGTGTAGGCCCGCAAACGACGGCCAAGTGCGTTCTCGTCAAGTTCGCTCGCCAGGTCTATAAAGACGAGCATATCGTATGAGCAAGTCAGTGCCACCGCGACAGTGTTTCTGAGACTAGACGAGTGATTGCAGCAGTACGAGAACAATGACACGTAATCGAACAATGTCGGAGCCAATCGGAGTACGAATCTAATGGCGCGCAAACGACACAACTTTTGAAGGCGGTATCATCCATATTAAGTATCAATTGCATTTACATAGAGCGATAGAAGAGTCAGAGTATAATACAGATGCGGATAAATAGACGTTTAGAAAGCATTAGGTGATCAAAGATGATCCTCAACATCTGACCAGCCGTCCGACTCATCACTCGGGTGGTCATTGACGTCACCGGCGGGAGGCACCTCGACATGCTCAATAACAACCGCAGAGTCATCGCCGTCAGCCTCGGAAGACGATGACGAAGGGACGGAAACATCTGAATTGATTGGCGAGGAGAAAAGGACGTCGACGTCACCGGCCGCTGTGGCGTCGGGTGTCGATGTGACAGGCAATGGGGAAGCCGATAGGCGAGCCTCGGACACAGGGACAGAGTCGACGAGTGGTTGCAGTTCTGGTGCTGACGAAGAATTTGTATTCAATGCGGGCACCTGAGAATCAGTAGCAGAACCTTTGTGGGAAGGTATCGGCTCAGACGAGTTCTCGGGTGAAACGGCGGCGACTTCGTCAGGCGGGCTGCCTCGAGATGTAATCGACTCGGAATGAGGAGGCGTCGACGTTGAGGCTTCGGACGGCGCCGGCGACTCGTGTGGGCTCTCCAGCGATGGCAGCTTTTCTGTGGCAGGCTCGATCAGCGAAGGCTTAGGGGCGTCAGCCTGGGCGGTATGAGACAGCGCGGAGGTGTCTGCAGTGTCTTGGGCTAAGCCTGGGATCGGTGTAGAGCTGGATAGGGCGTCGAAGGGTGCCGGTTCGGTGACGTCAACGGGACCACTGTTCACCTCCATAGCATGAACGTCTTCAGAAGCGGCTTCGTGTACGTTCTCGCTGGGTGATCGGTCGGAAGTAGCTTCCGCCATCGTCTGTTCGGGAGTCTCGGGAGCAGCGACAATCACGGTTCCGTCTGTGGAGGGCGCGGCTTGGCCATCCACGGTAGCTTCTTCAGCTGGAGCAGGCTCGTCGGCCTTCGCGTCCGCATCCTCCTTCGGCACAGGCGACCCAGGCCGCTGCTTCTCCACCTCCCTCTCGACCCTCTCCAGCTCGCGCTCAACGACAACGACCGCATCCTACCTGGCTTTCCTTATAGCATCGTCTCCATCGCTCTCCACCGCATCGAGCCTGACAAGGAGCAATCCGAGCGCGTGCGTATACTGGTGCAGAGGTCGGTTGTTCGCCGTGTACGCGAGGGTTTCCTCGTTCTCCGATTCAGCCGAATGGTCAAGGATAGGCGAGGGAGAGCGAGATGGAGTAGGCGAGGGGTTGAAGTCGAGGTGCTCCGGGAGATGGAAGTCGGACGAGAGCGAGTCGAACGAGGCACGAATGTTGGCGATCTCGTCGAGGGAGGAGGTGCGCTGATGACGGTGCGCACGGACTTGTTCGGCCGATGCGCCAGCGAGGGCGGGTTTACATTCTAGAGACGGTGCCCCCTGCGCCGAAGGGCTCGGGTCAAGCGCAGCAGTGGCTGGCTCTCTTTGATGGAAAGTGGCGGGCTCAGCGGAAGAGTTTGACGGGCCGGCCTGCTAAAGAAAGCAAACGCGGGTGAGTCATCGGAGAACCGACCCAGGTGAAAATAAATGGTGCATACCTGCTCGTTCACGTTGAACCGGACATTCTTTCGCTCCTTAGGTGCCTGAGCCTGAGCCGAACCGTTGAAGAAAGATTGGAGGAGCGACGTGAGGGTTTCCTGAACTTCTTGATCGTTCTCGACTTGAGCGCGTTGGCGGAGCAGGTGTTCGACCGTCACTTGAGGTGCGGAGTCGGAAGAACACGCGGGCATCGGCTCTTCCTTTGCCTTGCCCTTGCCCTTGACATCGACAGTGGTGCGAGGAGCTTGGGCGGCGGGCGTCGCACGCGGAGCGGAGGTGGGCTGGAGGAGAGCACGGATGAGGATCGCCATTCCGCCCGGCCTGATCGCGAGCAAGCTCACCTGTTTCTCCCGCTCAGACTCCGAGCCCTGCTCTGAGGGGGTGAAGAACGTCTCCAGGAGCTTCGAAAGTTCGGCTTGCTGCTGCCTGCGTCTATGGTGCACGACACTTAGTCACCACCAATTTTGTGCAGGCGCCAAATTGGCTCGGAGGTCAAATGTGGCGTGGGAGTTCTTTTCAGGCGGTGAATACTACTACGAGCAACGAAAAAGATAGTCAACAGTGCTCACCAAAGCTTTGAGGACGGTGTTGCAAGCTTTACAGCGCATTCGGGAGTATATATTGCACCAGAGCAGCAGTGGGATGATAATATGTGGCTGTGCAATCACTGCCCTATATGGAAGTGATTACATAAACACGCCAAATCAGGGTGACATTGAAATAATATCTCTCTGAATTTTGCGAAGTAGGACAATCGGTCTGGAGGATGTTTTCTATGCATGAATTCAGTGCTTTTTAACAGAAAAGAACGAAAAAATAGGCATTTTTGGGGTCACAATTCCTGTGCACAAAATTGGTGGTGACTAAGTGTCGTGCACCATAGCCTGTTCTAAGCGCGCAAGCTCCTCCTGACGGCGGCACTGCTCGACCTCGGCTAGAACCTGCTGTCTCAGCCAGGCAACCTGCTGGAGGTGCTGTCGCTGCCGTCATTGCCGAAGCGCAAGGAGCTCCTGCTGGCGACACGCGGCCTCCTCCTGCTGCCTTCGTATTCGCGCTCGACGTCGCTCTTCTGCGAGATTGGCAGCGAAGACGGCAAGGATTTCTTGTTGCTGCTGCTGCTGGCGTTGACGATAGTAGGCCTGCGCTTGTTGACGTTCGAAGGCTTCACGGCGGGCACGGGCGAGCAAGTAGTCGTGCTCCGCGAGTGCGGTCTGGTGAGCATAGCCGTAAGTGGCGTAACTCGATGTTGGTGCTCGGTGCAGGTGGCTATAGCCGTGGTCATAGTCGTCTAGCTCCGAAGTCCTGAAGAGTACGTGCTGGTGATGGACTGGTGTAGACAGTGTTAAATGTCAGGCGGCATGTCGGGCGCGGAGCGCGCTTGACCCGTCTGCAATGCGAGGGGTGAGATTGCTGGGCAAGCGCGTAAGGTACATCGGATGCGAGCGCGAGTAGATATACGTGTACAGCGATCAGATAATAGTGAGCACTGAACGCGCACTGAATTCTCATATTCCAACACACTCCCTTGCGCGGAAGGGCTCACGAGAATGAGACGGCGACACTCCCTGAAGCGAGCGAAAGGTAACAGAAAGGCACTCCCTCAAATGTGCAATCAACAAAGTCCATACTCCATTGGTCCAACATGCACACCACAGTGCGGGCGAATGGCGAGGTAACAGGTGCGAGGTGCGACGGCGGAGGGTAGCGGCGAGCGGCGGCGGCTGCGAGATCTTCGGCCGGCGGCGAGAAACAGTAAAAAACGGTGCGACTACGGCGCGGGTTCGATGGCGGCCTCGGCGGCGGCGACAACGGGGTGCGACCTCGATGAGGTGCGGTACGACTGGCTTCGGCCCCAGTGGCAAGCGGGTTTGTTTACGGATCGGCGGCGGGTACGTCTGGATTCGGCCCCAGAAGGCAAGCGATGGCGGGTTTGGGTTTGGGTTTGGGTTTGGGTACGGGTACGATTCGTGGTTCGTGTGGTTTCAGCCCCACAAGGCAGGTGCGTATCGATGCGGGTTCGTGTTCGGTGACTTCGGCCTCACCAGGCGGGTACGGGTGCGAGTGCGAGCATCGCGATGAGCGGCGATCTGCGGCGACGGGCAGGAGCAACGACCTCCGTGACTACGGTCGTGCGAGCGGGTGGTTTCGGCCCCACCGGGCAACTTGGATGACCCCAAGTGGTTGACGCGCTTGTGTTAAATGTCGGGCGGCATGTCGGGCGCGGAGCGCGCTTGACCCGTCTGCAATGCGAGGGGTGAGATTGCTGGGCAAGCGCGTAAGGTACATCGGATGCGAGCGCAAGTAGATATACGTGTACAGCGATCAGATAATAGTGAGCACTGAACGCGCACTGAATTCTCATATTCCAACAGACAGCACGAACGCGAGCATGATAGACAGATTGTGGGGTTAGATGTAGATGATCAGTGGTGATTATCTCGGCGGGATGAGACGAAGATCGGTGAGCCCCGCCATGATAACCTTTATAGTATATCGCGAGCGGGCTGCGTAAGCCATGAGTCGACCAGGAGGCTGACGCGGCGGGATGTGAGCGCTTTTGAGAACAACAGGATCGACGAGCTGAAGAAGCATCGAGAAAGCTCGATGCGCGTACGTAATCAGTTCCTGGTGACTCAGTTGCATTCATCCTCATACGCGAATGTAAAGCTGAATTAGCTTATCAGACAGCCCTAGCGACCATGTCCATAGATGTACACCAGCAAATGACGCAAAATGGTCATGCACAAGAGCCAGCAATCAACCTCAGCTATAAACCTCACCAATATGTGCACGTTTGGTGTGGACAGGAAAGCATGCACAGTCAACCATCTGCTCTATATACTACAGCAACAGCTAGGACGTACACATTCGCGTACTACAGCAGTAGTGAGCTCAGCCTGGTCAACACATTCCAGCAATCCCAAGACGTTGACGTGTTGCTCTTCCGTCACGTGCATATATCCTCGTACATATATCCCAGCTACACTCTCTCTGCACCTGCCCAATCTGTGTTCTTTGCGGAACGCTCCCACATACCGCCGCTGCCTTTCTTAAGATACTCCAGCACAAGCTGTATGGTTACTGTCAGGGCACGGCTCCCACACTCGCCTCATGTCCCATTGTTCCCCATTCTGCTTCCGCTGCTGTCCCATTTTGTTCATTTCCCCTAATACTTCCGTCTCCCTATTCGGTCAGGCTTCCCATGCCCTCCTTTTGGCATCTCCCCTATTTTGTTCTGTCGCTCGGTGCTCCTAGGGCCTCCACACCCCACGCAGCCTTCCTAGGCCGTTCCACTGGTCACGTGTTGGGTGCCCGAGGACCCTCCCTTTCTCTCATTGGACCATCTTTCGTTGCGCTGATGGATTATTCAGCTACTATATAGTTGCCTGTCGCACCAGGGAGCAACCCAGACTTGTTCTCTCAGTTGCCTCCCTGCCTTGTGCGACAGGTATGTGTATTCTCCCTCGTATCTTTGTGTATATACTCAGTTGCCTCCCTGCCTTGTGCAACAGCGTCTCCGCCGCCGTCCCAAGGGATCTGCGCTGCTCCTAGGAGGTCCAGCGCTCACCCTGACAGAAGAACAAGTCTCCACACTTCCCCTAGTGATTCCGCTCGCTGCCGGAAGGCCCTTGCTAGAAGTTCACACACACCTTGCCGTTCCGCCGGCTGTCAGAAGCAACTTCCAGTAAACCTATACTCTCACACCGCCTTCGTCCCGGTTTCCCCCGACTCGCCCCTCTCAGTATGGACGAAGATCTACCCCCCGTGGTGCCTCCGGCACTGCAGAATCAACCTGTACAAGCCGAGGAGGCCCCCCCAGAGCCACCAACCGTGCTGGACCTCCTCACATGCATCGTTGCCATGGAAGGGTATCTCCACCAGGAGCGCGTTAGGGCCACCATCAAGTTTTGTCACCCTGACTCCTTCGACGGCACACGGTCTATGGCCTGGACCTTCCTGCAGTCTGTGAATGATTACCTCAACCACAGCCACTGCGTCGATCCCATCCAGCGCATCCAGTTCCTGCTGTCATACTGTCACGGTGGGATGGCCGGTACCTGGGCCGACAACATCTCCAAGATCCGCCGCAACCTTCAGATGGGCGTTAGGGAACCCAAGGAGGCTCCGGCCTATCTCGCGTCTTGGGTACACATTGAACGTCACTTTCGCATGGCCTTCGAGGACTCCAACCCCACCGCCACAGCCTTCAACAAGCTCCGCACACTCCACATGGGCTCCTCGATCGCCGAAGACTTCATATGTCAGTTCAAGAATCTTGCCGAGGAAGCTGGGGACGACAGGGACGTCTCCCTCCTCACCACCTTCATGCAGGCGATCCCCTCCCACTTCCGGATCTCCCTGGAGTCCATGCCACTCAGGCCTGACACTCTCCCTGAGTGGAAGGCTGGGGTCACTCGTATGGATCGTCGCCTGAGAGAAGCCAGTGCCGCACGGCAGGCCGAGGCATCCCGCCTGCACTCTTTCCAGTGGGCAGGAGCTCCTAGGGCCCCGCCTCGCTAGCTGGCACTTCAGACCTACGCTCCCCCATGCACTGCCACTTGCTCGCAGGTCACGGCCCCCATCGCGCCTGCCGCTCCGCGCTTTACACCTCCTCCAGGACCTCCACCCTTGCCGCCAGGTGTTCCTATGGACATCGATGCCACATGTCGAGGAGGACAGCGAGTCTGCTATATCTGCCGCCAGCCTGGACACCTGGCTCACGAGTGCCCGCAACATGCTCAGATCTGTGCCATTGGAGCCCCTAGGAGAACAAGAGGCTGAGGACCAAGAAGAGGATTTTGTGTAGGGTCGTCTGCAAGCGCGCTGCAAACAACCAATAGATTCGCTGTACTGCCTGAAATCAATATGCCGGCCCCTGAGCCGATTCACCATATATCGCCTCAAGTACAGCAAGTTGCGCCTTCCTCGGAACCTCCTCCCTTTGTTTACGTTCTCGCCGGCATCTGTCAAGATCGGATACAAGCAAAGGGAAATAGGGTTGGAGGACCAAAGTCCGAAACGTATATACAAAGAATAGTATGAAGGAGAAGGAGAAACTCAAGGGGTAGAGTCGGAGTGGAGTCGGAGACATGTCGGAGATGCGTCGGCGTGGAGTCAATAAGCCGGAAGCATTGGTGAAGTTGAGATCGGATGCGGACCAAGCCTAAGCTCGTGCAATAGGCTGCTACGCACTCTGAGTCTGCAGGAGAGAGAGAGAAAAGCTTAGTCGATATCCGAACTGACTATCTACGGTACAGTTTGACGGTTTATATACATAAAAGAGAACAATGGCGAAATTGGAGAGTTGGAGATCGGAGGCGCCGTTTGGCGCACAAAGGGAACATACAGAGACGAGAGATAACGCATGGAACACAAAGGGAACATATCTAAGGAAGAGGCGGAAAGGACGGACCGAATGATCCGTCGCAAGCGACGGGAAACTAAAGTCTACAAAGGGAAACTATGATGTCAGACAAAGGGAACAGGAATCAGGAAAGTTGGAGTTGAATACGTTCAAGATCTGGAACCACCGGGGCGTTGAGCCGCCGGTGGCCCGGTGCACGTGATAGGCGTATCCCGCCCTCGACCAAAACGGGAAAGGTGGGATCAGCGTTGGCGAAGAAGTCGGCGAAGGGTTGGAGATCGGATCGGAGACGATTGGTGTGGATCAGTGACAATCAGCGGAGTGGATCGGCGTAGGTCGGTCTGGATCGACACATGACAGCGTCTCCGGATGCTCCCGCAGCACCGAGCTCCCCCTTCAGCTTCAGGCCACGGACTCAGGTCACAAGTTCACGGTCCAAGCCCTCCTTGACAGTGGTGCCACTGGGTGTTTCATCGACAATGACCTGGTGCTTCGCCATCACCTCACCACCAAGCCGCTCCCTCGCACAGTCCCCATCTACAACGTCAATGGTACCCTCAACCACTCTGGGGGGATGTCAGGGCACGGCTCCCACACTCGCCTCATGTCTCATTGTTCTCTTTTTCTGCTTCCGCTTCTGTCCCATTTCATTCATTTCCCCTAATACTTCCGTCTCCCTATTCGGTCACGCTCTCCCGCGCCCTCCTAGGCCTCCCGCGCCCTCCTTTTGGCACCTCCCCTATTTTGTTCTGTCGCTCGGTGCTCCTAGGGCCTCCGCGCCCGTGCGGCCTTCCTAGGCCGCTCCACCGGTCACGTGTCGGGCGCCCGAGGACCCTCCTCTTCTCTCATTGGACCATCTTTCGTTGCGCTGATGGATTACTCATCTGCTATATAGTCACTTGTCACACCAGGGAGCAACCCAGACTTGTTCTCTCAGTTGCCTCCCTGCCTTGTGCGACAGGTATGTGTACTTCCCCTCATATCTTCGTATATATACTCAGTTGCCTCCCTGCCTTGTGCGACAGCGTCTCCACCGCCGTCCCGGGGGATCCGCGCCACTCCTAGGAGCTCCAGCGCGTACTCTGACAGGGGATCCGTGAGACCGTGGACGTGATCATGCATTATGGCAACCACTCAGAACGTGTCACCCTAGCCGTATGCTCCCTCGGGCGTCCTACAGTCATTGTAGGGCACACCTGGCTCTACCATCACAATCCTGAGGTGTACTGGCGCACTGGGGAAGTGGAGATGTCCCAGTGCCCACCAGAGTGCAGTACCCGAAAAAAGAACACTAAGTACCACAAGCGGAAGCGGCGGGTCCGTTTTCAAACTCAACAAGACCCAGCCTGATGCACCCAAGGAGCCCTGCACCCCTCTTCCATGCCCCACCGTCGAGGACACCCTGGACAAGGAGTTTTCCGAGGAGCCTCTGCCGGCTGACAACTTCGTCCCTGAATGCTCCGACCGGGTCTTCGTGGTGATGCTGCCCACCGAGGAGGACTTTAGGCGTCACGAGATTTGCGCAACTGCCACCATCTCCTCTCGCCTAGCCGAAGAGGCGCATTCCTCGGAGCCTCCGCGTACCTTCGAAGACTGCGTCCCAGAGCACTATCGCGCCTTTCGAGACGTGTTCTCCAAGGAAGCCTTCGATGAGCTCCTGTCAAGGAAGCCTTGGGACCATGCGATCGAGCTGAAACCTGGCTCGGAGCCCCGAGGGAGCAAGGTGTACCCTCTCTCGCTGGCAGAACAGCGGGAGCTAGACGCCTTCCTCCAGGAGAACCTCGACTCTGGGAGGATCCGCCCCTCGAAGTCTCCCATGGCCTCGCCGGTCTTCTTCGTCAAAAAGAAGGACGGTCCGCTGCAGCTGGTCCAGGACTATCGGAGGCTCAACACCATGACGGTCAAGAACGCCTACCCCCTCCTGCTCATCTCCGAGCTGATCACAAAGCTACGTCGAGCGAAATACTTCACCAAGCTCGACGTCCACTGGGGCTTCAACAATGTCAGGATCAAGGAGGGAGACAAGTGGAAGGCAGCATTTCGGACGAATCGGGGCCTCTCCGAGCCGCTGATGATGTTCTTTGGCCTTTGCAACAGCCCCTCGATTTTCCAGACCATGATGAACGACATCCTCCGGGACCTCATTGATGAAGGCCTGGTCGTGGTTTACCTGGACGACATCCTCATCTTTACAGAGACGCTCCAGGAGCATCGGGACGCTGTGCGATGAGTGCTGGAGGTGCTCCAGAGGCACAAGCTGTACCTGAAGGCCGAGAAGTGCGAGTTCGAGAGGACGACAGTGGAGTACCTAGGACTGGTGATCACCCATGGGCACGTTGGGATGGACCCTGTCAAGGTCCGAGGAGTCTCCGAGTGGCCTGAACTGCGGAACGTCAAGGAAGTGCAGTCCTTTGTCGGTTTCTGCAACTTCTACCGCCGTTTCATCCGAGACTTCTCTCACATTGCCAGACCCTTCCACGCACTCACCAAGAAGGACACTCCGTGGGCATGGGGCCCCAAGGAGCGTAACACCTTTTTAGACCTGAAGAAGGTGCTCACCTCTGCACCGGTCCTGGTAGCTCCGAGGGACGACCGCAAGTTTCACCTCGAGATGGATGCTTCGAACTTTGCCACCGGCGCCATCCTCTCGCAGATGGGAGACGACGGGATCCTCCACCCCATCGCCTACATGTCCAAGGGCCTCTCCCCTCCCGAGCGCAACTACGACGTCCACGACAAGGAGCTCCTCGCCATCATTCGGGCTCTCGAGGAATGGCGGCACTTCCTTGAGGGCTCCCGGGAGCCATTTGAGATCTTGACAGATCACAAGAACCTCGAGTACTTCCAGACGGCGAAGTCTTTGAATCATCGGCAGGCGCGCTGATCCCTCTTCCTCTCCCGCTTCGACTTCATGCTCCACCACCGTCCAGGACATCTTTCTGGACGTCCCGACTCGTTGTCACGCCGGGCAGACCACTCCAAAGGAGCCGAGGACAACTGGGACGTCGTCATCCTACGCCCTGAGATCTTCATCCGAGCGCTCCGCCCCGTGGCGGTCCCCATCGACACCGACGATGCCGACATCCTACGGCGCATTCGTAACACCAAGGAGCTGGACAAGGAGGTTGAGGCTGCCATGGCGAAGCCTCACGGAGTCTCCCGGAGTGTCGATCATGCACCTGAATGGCAGTTCGAGGAGGACCTGGTACCCTACCGTGGCCGCGTCTATGTCCCTCGGATCGAGGAACTGTGAAGGAGGGTGGTAGAGCTTCACCACGACGTTCCTGTTGCGGGGCACCCAGGACGTTGGAAAACCCTCGAACTTGTCTCCAGGAACTACTGGTGGCCGGGGATTAGCCGGTACGTTGACCGGTACGTCAAGGGCTGCGACGTTGTCACGTGTCGGATCTTGGGCCGCAACCGGGCCAAGTACGATAGCTCCGGTCGTTCCAGGTTGTCCGCCATCGGAGTAGCAGCTCCGGTACCGGACCTGCGTTATCACATGAATAGTCCTCCGGCGACTCAACGTCCCGGTAGTTCTCGAGTCATAACGGATTCAACTCCGACGTTCACGACCGATATGCCTTTAACGGTTTGATATTCCCTTCGGACTTATTCTACCTCCGATTATCAGCTCGTAACCATATGATCCGTCCTTACGATTGACAGTTCCACATGGTTCATAGTTCCGATAACTCCTTATTCCACATGGTTCATAGTTCCGATAACTCCCTATCGATACGAGCTCCGAACCGTGCCTCCGCGTATATAAACTCCTAGCTCCTGTACTCTAACTCCTTAGTTCGAATATCGACTAAGTTACTCCTCTGCTCCGACACAGACTTAGAGCGCGTAGCGACTCAAGCCTTAAAGCTTGAGTCTGGTCCGTACTCGCACTCACTCTCTGTATCTCGAAACTCTGCTCCGACTTTCTCCG